CATGCTGAGCAAAAAGCAGCAGCCCTGGCCTTGGCCAAAAAAACCTTTCAGTCTCTGGTGGCCTCCAGCACTCCACCATGCCCCATACCCCAGTATCTCAATGGAAAGGCTAGCTCTACACAACTCCCTGTCCACAGGACTCTTCCACCAGGTCTCAGCTGATACTCGAAGCTTTCATCTATTTGTTCATGTTTATATACTCCTACTCCTCTGCCAAGGACAGGAGACATCTCACCAGAACCAGTACAGGCACAATGCTCAGCACAAAAGGAGGCACTAGATGGATACACATTCTCTAAACAAACTAGAAAAAGAACTAGAGGCAACCCGTCTTTCCCTCACTCCCCTCCTGTAAACTAAGCCAGAGTCCTCATGCCAGGAAGGAAGATAACTACAGAAAGCCCACAGAAGCCAGCAGGCCATGCAACACTTTTGCAGCCCAGTTCTCCACAAATAGCCTGAACAGCAGAGCAAGGCATCTAGAAATACTAAACCAAGCTAGGCATAGTGGAATTAGCACATAGGTAATTCCAGCTCGTGGGAGTCTAAAAAACGGACAACTGGGTGTGTTCAAATCCGGCCTGGGCTAGAAAGTGAGACTGTTATCACAAAAAAAGAAAAAAGAAACAGGTGTGATGGTACACACCTTTAATCCCGGCACATAGGACAAAGATAGGTGAATCTCTGAGTTTGAAGTCAGTCTGGTCTCCAGAGTGAGTTGGAGGGCAGCCAGGGCTACAGAGAGAAACCCTGTCCCGAAAACCCACCAAAAAAACAAACAAAACAGAAACCACTCAAAATGAATTAAAGACCTGTATCTATACTCTTTAAAAGAAACCATGGGTAGCTGGCTGTTGGTGGCACATGCCTTTAATCCCAGCACTCAGAAGGCAGAGGCAGGTGGATCTCTATAAGTTTGAGACCAGCCTGATCTATAGAGCTAGCTCCAGGACAGCCTCCAAAGCCACAGTGAAACCCTGTCTCAAAAAAATAAATAAATAAAAAAAATAAATAAAAATAAAAAAAAACAAAAACAAAATCAAACCACGCCTGTACCACACTGTCCCATAATCAAGTCTATTGGGGCATTTTTCTTTAAAAAAAAAAAAAAAAAAAAAAAGAAAAAAAAAATCAAACCACGCCTGTACCACACTGTCCCATAATCAAGTCTATTGGGGCATTTTTCTTTAAAAAAAAAAAAAAAAAAAAAAAGAAAAAAAAAATCAAACCACGCCTGTACCACACTGTCCCATAATCAAGTCTATTGGGGCATTTTTCTTTAAAAAAAAAAAAAGAAGAAAAAGAAGAATTGGAAGCTGGGCGTTGGTGGCGCACGCCTTTAAATCCCAGCACTCAGGAGGCAGAGGCAGGCAGATCTCTGTGAGTTCAAGGTCAGCCTGGCCTGGTCTCCAGAGCGAGAGCCAGATAGGCTCCAAAGCTACACAGAGAAACCCTGTCTCGGAAAAAAAAAAAAAAAAGAATTGGATGTGATGATGTACACTTTTTTTTTTTTTTTTGGTCAAAGCACTGGAGAGAAGACAGGAGGACCTGAAGTTTGAGGCCAGCCTGAACTACACAGTTGAGTTCTAGGCCAGCTAACGTTACTTAATGGGACTCTGGCTTAAAAGAAAACAACAAAAACAACCCTGGTATTTGAACTGCTGAACTGCTGGCTTGAATTTTATAAAAATCATTAAACGAATTTTTGGCTTGGGATTAGAACTGAGTTCCAACAATGTATGAAATAGTCCTAAACATACTCCTACCATTTTATACTATGTGTTTTTGAGAAGTGGCCTTCTCACCACTAACAATTTTAAAAATCAAAGAAAGAATTCTGAAAGACACTGAAGATACTCTCACAATATACTCAGCCAAAGTCAAGCTTGAGGCGTAGGAGTTCAGGAGTTCACAGACCAAAGATTTGGGAGATTGGGGGGGGGGGGGACTAGGCTCAGGATAAAGACTTCTTACCCATAGACCCCAGACTTATGGTGAAATGCTTTTACCTGAGCCATCTTGCTGACCCTAAACTTTTTGTTATGGAAAATTTCAAGCATACCCACAAAGCAGTAGTGATGCCACAATAACACATGTCCATGGCCAGAGACTACACAACGAACCGGGACACAGGGACACAGGTTCTGTGGTCCACTGATGGGCCTCCCCTTGCATCCTGGTGCTGGCAAGTTCAGTCTAGAGGAGCAGGATACATATGCTGCTGCCATCTCCTCCACATGTGAAACCGCACTTGCTCCCAAACATCCTCTAAAGGGAACCGGGATTGATCGGCTTCTTTTTCTTTGAGCACCAATATGAGCTTGAAGATTTTTCACATTATTTTATTTATTTAGAAACAGGGTCTCACTTTGCTCCTGGGCTTAATGGCCCTCCTGCTTCAGTCTTCAAGAAGCTGAGATCCGGCACCTGGCTTCACCATGAACTTTCTCACTTTATGTGTACTAGGGATGAAGCCAGGGTCTCAGTAGGCTAGCACTCCAAGACCACATCTAACTCCATGGGAACTACCCATCCACTGGGGTGCTTCTAATACCACTGACATGCTCCCAATGCCTATTCAGAGTTCAGTGATCCCAAATTTAATTTTGCGCTTCTCTTTTGGTCCTTGGAGACATTTGTTTCTTCTACAGTATTTGACAGGGAAAAGAATGCACATATTTTTACCCTAAAACTAAAAACTTGACTGCAAGTCATCTGGCAGGGTGGTGCTGCACGCCTTTAGTTCCAGCAACCGGGAGGCAGAGGCAGGAGGATCTCTGCGAGACCAGCCTGTTCTACAAGAGTGAGTTCCAGGACAGGCCCCAAAGCCTGTCAAGAAAAAAGAAAGGAAGGAAGGAAGGGAGGGAGGGAGGGAGGAAGAGAGAAGGAGGGAGGGAGGTAGGGAGGTAAAAATGCAGGAGAAAACATCTGAAGGTCAACCTTGCTATCGTATGCATATGCCCTGCAACCACACACACACACACACACACACACACACACACACACACACA